AAGTCTGATTTGTTGAACCTCGCTCTGATACCATGTTGAAGTTTGACCTGCCCTAGAATTCTGTCTTGTTCGTTGACTGTAAAGTAAACAGCAAGTAGGAGAGGAAAGAAGAAGAGAGAAAAGAGAGAAAGGCTGGTTCGAATTAGAGAAAAAGTTTTCCCTGGATTCGGCCAGACCTGTTATTATATTATTAACTTATTGGAAAAGACTTAAGTGCCCTTCTTTGAGTAAGAGGCACTCGAACTAACATAACAGTACACATCAACATTCTCAACAAGTACAAAGGACCGAAATACCCCTTCACTAACACCACTAACACAAGTAAAAAAGAAACTCAAACCATACCAAAGCCTAAACCATCACCAAGACCAAACACATGATTAGACCTACCCATTCCCATTATCCATATCTACATTCCTATTTCTAGCCCATATCCATACCCAAAATCCACGTCCATGGCCAGCCAACCCATTAACTGGAGAATGGATCGGAAATTAATGCAAGTTCAACAAACTTTGATGTTGGAGTTTCTTGGAATTAAAGAAAGCATGTGGAAGGTCATAGTCATCTTGAAGTCTTAGTCACTGGGAAGTTGAAGTTGCAGTTTTTTTAGGAGAATTAATTAGAGAGTAGTAATTAAGATTTAATGCTAGTTTCCTTCCCTAGCAAGAAGGCTTTCATAAAAGAATGTAGTAATCTGTTTCAATAGTGAATGAGTTCAGTTTGTTCTTGAGAATTTTGTGCTTTGATGGCTTGACTCCATTTACATAGAGGTGTAACTCCCCTTCTAATTGGTGCAACTCTAGTAGGGCTGCAACTTGGGTGGGATTAGCCTGAAGCCAACCCTAACCCAACCCAATTGGGTTGGGTTGGTGATCATGTTAGGGTTAGGGTTGAAATGTATGAACCAGAATTAACTTCGGTAGGGTTAAGGTTGATCCTTTGGACAACCCGGCCCAATCCAAACCTGACTATTGTGTACGCACACAGACACACACACTTATATGATATGTTCTTGTGGCTAATATTAGCAGTCATTAGTGGTTTTCTTTCCATAATTTTATGTTTCATTATTGATTTCAAGATTTCAAATTTTCAATTGAAGATTTATCATAAGTCATAACTCATAATAGACTCTAATCATTTGAAGCATTTATTTTTCTAACTTCAGTACTAAAAAGAATCAATAAAAACATCAAACAAACAAATGTATTAAAATTGAGTCTAGATCTGAATTTGATCGACTTTATGAGGTGGGAGTAAGGTTGGGTTGGGTTAAGGTTAGGGTTGGGGGTTTAGAACTTTTGGTTAGGTTAGGATTGGCCAAAACCCAACCTAACCCAGCCCAATTTGCACCCCTTAACTCCAATCTAGAATTAGAGTACTAAGGTGAGTTGCCAAAGACTCAAATTCAAGACTGTGTGACTCAGCCCACTATTCCCTTTCTCAACATCCTATCACATATCCTTCATTCTCAAGCTGCATACTCGAGTTTTAGTGAACAGTTAAGTATGTTAAGAGAAGGAAGAAGAAAAAGAAGAAGAAGAAGAAGAGATGTAGAGTTTTACAAAAATTCTAAAGGCTAATACTAAGATATTGTGAGACTGAAGCCTACACTTCAAGGCTTATACTTGTACATTAGTAGATACTAGTGGCTCCCTCACACCTTTGTATTTTAAAACATTGTTTTGGACTTCAACTGGATATTAGAGATAATGTTGTCTCAATCATTACTTGTGGCTCAAATTTAAGTGGTTAAAACTTGTCCATATGGATATGGCTTGATTTTGGTGTCATATACACAACATTTGGCTCTCTATGCAATAAGATCATGATTACCCATTTGGACAAATTTGATCAAGAAATGGCCAACTTACAGTCAGCCATCCTGACAAATTTGATCAAGAAATGGTCTCATGTTGGTATTGGTCAGGTTGGTGGTCCTTCTGGCTGTTTTGTTTTAGTGCAGGTACTGTTTGGCGGGTCCCTTTCAGGTTGCTTCTGTGTTTTAGGTGGTATTTTGTCTTTGGAGTTGTATTTTATTCTCTTGACACTACAAGGCATCTTTTGGGGAAACCTAGCTTTTGGAGTTTGATATTTTGTTTTCTCCTTGTCCTTATCTTCCACTTTTATGTGCATCTTGTATAGGGGTGTTTACAGTCTGGTTCAGTGTGGTTTGGAGAAGATCTCAGACCAAACCAGTAAACTACGGTTTGAGAAATTTCTAAATCGAACCAAACCGTTTTATTATGGTTTGGTGCAGTTTCTAATACGGTTTGGGGACTTTGGACCATTCTATGATTCTTTTGGGCTTAACCCAACCCAAATAGCTCCCCTAAAACTTAAAACTTAAAACTTTTATTTATTATTTTATTATAAAATAAAGAGTTCATTATATATTTATAATTTTAGCATTCCATTTAGAATTTTAGATATATTATATATAATGTTTATATATCATATATCTACATTATATATATAATTTCAGTTTATGGTTTGGTTTGGTTTATAAAATTCAATAAACCAAACCAAAACCGTAAACCGCAATTTAGAAAATTCTCAAACCGAACCAAACCATTTATAGGTATAAACCGAACCAAACTGCAAATTCGGTTTGGTTCGATTCGGTTTTGCGGTTTGAACTATATAATGAACACCCCTAATCTTGTATACTTTTTAATATTAATATAATATTTTGAGAAAAGACATGGTATTAATAAGGACTCTTACTATATGACCCATCTTGTCCACGAAACCATTGCCTAGAGAAAACAAAATCCCTTTTGGATTGCCACCTGGAAATAGCAAGATATGCAAGGAATAAATAAAGCAACAATGAAAATGCTAGAAAGTTCTCTAATAATTTTTATTAAAAGGACTGTAATTAGATTCAATGATCACTGCACTAGTGCATCTTATTTTCAAAAGAAGAGAGGAGCTAGTCACAAGTAATAACTCACCGGGTTAGATGTTTTGGGTCATATGTTGCATAGACAACATCATAGTGCCCATTGACAGAATCTACAAGCTCTAGGTCACCTGTCAACATATCCCACCTGCAAAGACCATTCTTAGAGAGATAAATAGCCTGACCTATTGAAAAAGAGAAAAAAAAAGGATATTCATTTGACTTACTCATATCTCTTATGTCGGTCAAGGCTCAAAACCACATCAAAGACAGTATCCAAATTTGCATCAACAACTCCAACAGACTTTAAGAGGACACCTTTCTCACTCTACATAGAGTGAAAAGATTTTAAAGAAAATGTTAAAGATTATAGGATAGAGGACAATAATGCAAATTAGACATTGAACTTAATAGCAGTCAGCAAGATCCAAAAGATAGTGTCAATAACCTTTTTTTCTGCCATTCACATCTAATATTGGCATGGTTTAAAATGTCCCTAATTTCCCTAATATTTCCACAACATATTTCCATTTCCATGGGTAACGGCACAAAATTTTACCAAAATCGACATTCTCCATGAACACTACCAGCAACATGTGGAGTACAAGAGATAGTTTCCATGACAAATTTCAATTTCCACTTCCATGGGTAGCAACATGAAATTTTACTGGAATTGACATATTCCCTAGTGAACGCTACCAGCACTATGTGGAGTACAAGATATTGAGAATATGTATTTGGGAGGGGCATTGTTGTCTTCCATTCTTGTTTGTATTTGGGTGCTCATATAGGGGTATAAATGTAATTTTTTCTTTGATATAAGATGCACTTTTTGGTTACACACCCTCTTCTCCCGTAACTCTCTTCTTCCTCCTCTATTCTTCTTCTCTCTTCTTCTACCTCTTCTTCTTCCTCTTCTCTTCTTCTCTTCCTCCAACACTCTTACAAATTGGTATCAGAGCGGGAAGGAATATTGGAAGAGCCTTCTTTGTCAACTCTCGAACTCAGGAAAACCTGGTAACATCATATCGCCACCAGATGACATCAGCAGTCCGTATAGGTACCAACAACAACTCTTGAAACTGGTTCAGTTTGGTGCTCCTTGATTTTAGGGATTTTTTTGGTATGGTTCTCATCTTCATTTAATGCTCCTATGATTTTTCCTGGATTCCGCACTTAGAAATTAATAGAAAAATACTGGTACGATGTTTGGATTTTTCTCCTCTCCATTTGAGGTTGGTACTTGCTTGAAAATTGTTGTTCTTGGGTCGTTTGACTCCTCTAGACGTATGGGAAGTGGTTCCACATTTTCTGAACCCTAGGTATTTTTTGGGAGATTTTGTTCTCCTCATATATTATCATCAGTTCAGTTTTTGGCCTCCTATTGGACCCCAACCAAGTGTTTCCCTATCTTAGTGGATCTAGTGTGTGTCGGTTGGTTGTTGGAGTGTTGTAGAGCTGTCAAGAAACCTATCCAAGTCAAATGAAATTGTTGAAGGAAATAGACTGTTTTTGGAGTGCTCCTGAGAAATGCTCATGTCTCTAGTGGTATGATGACACATTGTGAAACTTGATGGAACCAACTTCCTATAGTGGTCTCAACCAACCAAGCTTACTATAGGAGGTAAGGTTAAGCTGGGATTCATTACTAGTAAGGAGGGGATGCCAAAAGGCCCAAAACCTGATGACCCAAATTTTGCCAAATGGGAACAGGATAATTCTTTGGTTATGTCATGGTCGGTGTGTTCGATGCAGCCTCATAATACCCATAACTGTATATTCCTCTCCACTACCAAGGATATTTTGGATCATGTTATAGCTATGTACTTCTAGGCGAAAAAATACAGCTCAAGTCTACCAACTCTAGAGAGAAGCCTGTAATATGCATCAAGGGGAGAGGATTGTAGCCATGTACTTCTCTTCCTTGCAGTCTCCATGGGAGAAATGGACCATCTAGAGGCCTTAGAGTGGATGAATCCCAAGGATGGTGAACAGTACCGAAAGTACATTGAGAAAAACCGAGTGTTTGATTTCTTAGCAAGGTTGAATGCTGAGTATGATTTTACCCAACATCATATCTCGAGTGCAAATATTGCTTCTCTTGCTACTGCAAACTCCTTGGTACAAGGAGAGGGGAGTAGAAGAGTTTCCATGATGCGGACTTCAGTGATGGACCATTCAGCTTACATGTCCTCCAAACGCAAGCAGTGTGTAAATAAACATGGTGTTAATGAAAAGCCTCATTAAGCGGTATGTGAATACTACAAGAAGCCAAAACCCACCAAGGACAAAGTGTTGGAAACTAAATCCACATTTAAAGCCTTAAAAATTTAAAACAACAAAGAAGGGAAATGCTCATCTTGCTACTACTGCAGTTAATTGCCTTCCTCCTAGTGTGCATGTACCTACACATGATCCCTTTGATGTGAGGGAGAAGCTCAAGATCCTACTAACTCATCTTGAGAAGTTTGGGTCCCCTTCATGACCACTATGCCTTTCCAATTCACTTATAAATTGGCCCTAGGGAAGTAAAAATCACTGTAGATGGTGGATCTCAGACTCCAATTTCTAGCTTGGATGAAGTCAAGCTTACTCATTATCTTTCCCTGAGCTTTATTCTTCGTGTTCCCCAGTTATACAAAAAACCTTTTATTTGTTAGTTCTCTTACCAAATATATTAATTTTTTAGTGACCTTTTTTCCTTCTCATTATGCTTTTTAGGACATAAAAATTTGGAGGACGATTGGAACTGGACATAAAGCTGATGGAGTTTACCTTTTTTATCAAGTCTCTAAGCAAGGATTACTATGCCAGACCGAGTAATGTTGAAAGGAAAATTTGAGTCTTTTGAAGATATGCAAGTCCATTAAGTTTTTGTTACCAAACTTGTGTAAGTTTGTGTCCATTTTAAGTATGCAATGTTAAATCTGTCATCTCTCAAAACAATGTAGAACTACATATCTTGCAAGTAATAGAAAGAGTAACGTTGCTTTCAGCATGATATACACTACTTTTTGGGGTCTATACTATCCTTGTATGGGTGGCTATAAATATTTTATACTATTCATTGATGATTACTTTAGATATACTTGGCTATACCTGATGAAGAGTAGAGATGAAGTTCCTTCCATTGTTCAACACTTTTTTAAAATGGTAGAAACACAATTTGAGAAGAACATCAAGATAAAAAGGTCTGGCAATGCGAGTATTTTGAAAAGCATCTATGACTCTTCCTTGTAAAAAGGGGCAATTCATCAAAGCTCATGTTCCCATACTCCATAGCAAAATGGTGTAGCAGAACACATTCTTTTGCCTATAACCTTAGTTTCTTAGCTTTGTTTACTGATTTGGAACAAGATAATAATTAAAAAAGGTATGTCAATGGTTCTTTTATCATTTCATAAAATATCATTCTATACTTTTCGTATTGTACAATATTTCCACCATGTCGATAATTTCTACAATATTCCATATGATATTTCTGATATGTTTCCTATATTTGGGAAATCGACATTTCCACCGACACCGACATTTTAAACCTTGAATATCAGTGGCGAATATATCATTTGATGCTCAAATCAAGTTTAGTAGAATTCTCTTCAACTTTTGGTTTTAGCTTATTAATTTTGGTTGAAATTTTAGTTTTCTAAATATCTTTCAAGTGGAAAAGACAATAAGTGCTTCAATGCTCACATCAAAGGAGCAAGAAAAGTGCCTAGTATAGATCTCAAAAGATCCAAAATATAAGAAAAGATCCAACTAATCATGTTAGGAAAAAACAAAAACAAGATTCTTTCTCCCGAATTATGTATTAATGCATCCATTAAGACAAGTATGAACAATTTATTTGGGAAATCTACATAATATTGGAAAACATATATCACATAATATAGGTATTATGAATAAAATCTGAGTGAGAGTAGATACCTTGAAACTATCTACATCCTCAAATATTCTAATACCTGAAAGCACAAAATGGAATCATTTACAAAGGGCAATGATAAATCCACCCTACTGAAAAATAAAAAAGAAACAAAATGACATGCAAATGGATTCAAAGAGAAATCCTTCCATTGCATACTCATTGGAGCATGCAGAGTACAAGTGGTTTCATCACATACATTACTTGCATAGAGTTAAACGTTTAGCTAGAGAATAAAAATTATTCCTCATAGCATTTTAGGAGTTTTTGAAACTTTTCTTAAGATGCTACGCACATTTCTTATGAGATCAACTAGATAGAAAAGTGGAAGAATGTATAACCCTTTAAGGTGTCAAGATGAAGCACAAGATAATGGACTTAGTGTCCAACTTACCTAGGTGACAGCTATGTAGTTGTATTTAAAAGGCATTATGTAACTTGTACATAGTAGTATGTTTTCTTTCAGTTACATAGTTGTGTCCATTTAAATAGTGTATTTTGCATAATAATTATATTTTGAGGAGAATACTCAAGGGAGACACAAGGAATAGACTTAGAATCCTACTTACCATATATAGAGAGAACAATAACTAATGTTGGTCCAATATTGTAACACCTTGCTCGGCATATGCTTAATAAGATAAGCTATCCAAAACATCAAGCTTCATGCCATTTCCAAGTAAATGCTTGCTCTTCCTCTTGGCAAAACCATTTTTTTTCTATGGTCAGAAAGAGAATTTTTATTGATTATATTAATTGGTGAAAAGTGAATAGTGGTCTCAATCTGCCAAGCTTACCATTGGAGGAAGGGGTAAGTTGGGATTCATTATAGGCAAGGTGAAGCTGAAATTTGATGGCCCTAAGTTTTCCAAGTGCGAGATAATTCATTGGTTATGTCATGGTTGGTCTATTCAATGCAGCCACATATTGCCCACAACTACATGTTTCTCTCCACCACCAAGGATATTTGGGGTTGTGTTATGGCCACATACTCCCAAGAAAGAAATATAGCTCGAGTCTACCAACTCTGAAAGCTAACCTGCAATATGCGCTAGGGGGAGAAGACTCTTACCAAATCCCATAATTGTTAAGTGACACTTTTTCATTTGCATTGTCTATTTTAGGACCTAAGCACGGGGAGGACAATCGGAACTAGACTTTCTAGGGAAATGCAGTTGAAGCAGCAGTGTACATCATTAAAACATTTCCTTCACAAACTCTTCACCTTCAATCTCCTGATCAGCTTCTCCTTTCTAATGATCCCATTTTGTCTTCCTCTCAGAGTCTTTGGTTGTAGTTACTTTGTTCATGATTTGAATCCTTCTCGCTTCAAACTTGATCCTAAGTCTATCAAGTATGTTTTTCTAGGTTACTCTCTAGTCCAAAAGGGGTACAAGTGATTTGACCCCCACTCTATCCAACAATATGTGTCTAAGGATGTTACATTTCTTGAGTCTTCTCCTTTTTTCAGTCACCCCATTCTTCTCTTCAAGGGGAGAGTGTTTGTGAAGATTGGACTCCATTTTGTCTCCTTGTTCTTGTTTCTATGGATATTCTTGGTTCATTTTCCTCCCTTCCTACTTGCAATGACAGTATTCCTACTCATCCTCTCCCTATTCCTTAGTAGTAATCCTAGCAATAGTGATTCATAAGGCTCAGAAGGAAGGTTACTCCTAAGGTTGAATGTCCATACATTCTAGCCACCCAGCTCTAGGTAATTCTAAAAGCAACCTTGAACTTGAGACTCATGTTGACTTTAAGCTTCCTATTCCTACTTTTACTAAGCCCCATATCTCACAATTTGACCTTGACCTTCCCATTGCAATTCAAAAAGGAAAAGGGAAATGCATTGCATATCCCATCACTAACTATGTTTCTTATGATGCTTTTCACCTTCCTACTATGCCTATATTTCTGATGTTTCCTCTATTTTTATTCTCCATAATGTTACAGATGCAATGTTGTTCTCTTAGTGGAAGTATGCATACCAAGAGATGGAGGCCTTCATAAAGAACCAAACATCAGAGATTGTTCCACTTCCTGAGGCTAAGGTCCCATTGGGTTGCAAGTGGGTGTATACAATAGTGTTTTAAAAGGCGTGGGAGGCGTTCCAGGCGAGGCACTCCCAAAACACCTTGAGGCGTATGCCAAAGGTGCTGACACCTCTGAGGCATACGCCTCAAGTGCAAGAGGCGTACACCTCGTGCTTTTTTCTTAAGGCGTGCTAGAGGCGTATGCCTCGTGCACATTTGATATAAAAAGACAAAAAAGAAAAAGAAAAAGGAAAGGAAAAGAAAGGGAAGGGAAAGAAAAAGAAAGAGAAGTAAAAAAAGAGAAAAGGAAAGATAAGAAAAGGGAAGGGAAGAAAAGATAAGGTGTACGCCTCAAGAAAGCTCGCTTCGCTCGCTCGCCTCCGCTTCGACAAGGCCCCCCCCCCTTCAACTAATGTTATGCATCTTTATTCTTATTAATATAAAAGATTTTTATTAAAATAAAGAAAAAATGAGATCCCCCCTTCCTCTTCATCCTCCTCCTAACCCCCCTCCTCTTAAGGAGGCTTATGCCTCCTTGTGTTCGGGAGGCTTATGCCTCTTGCATTCTGAACTATGCCTCATGCCTCTAGGTAGTGGAATGCCTTGTGTCACGTCTCCGCGTTTTAAAACATTGGTATACAGTTAAGAACTTGGCTGATGGCTTAATTGAAAGATACAAAGCTAGGTTGGTGGCAAAAGTGTACACCCAAACATATGGGATTGACTATCAAGAGACCTTTGCATCTGTGACCAAACTGAACTCTATCCAAGTGATTATATCTCTTGTTACTCATCGTTCATGGCCTCTATACCAGATGGATGTGAAGAATGCCTTCCTCAATCAAATCTTCAAGAGGAGGTCTACATGGATCTTCCCCAAGAGTAAGTTTCCCTAATAGTAAGAGAGGGTGGTTTATAGTCTAAAGAAATCCCTTTATGGGCTCAAGTAGTCTCCTAGAGCTTGGTTTAATAGATTCAAAAAGGTTATTCTTAAAATTGGGTCCACTCAATCACAGGCAAATCATACTCTTTTCATACGAAGGGCTAATGGCCTAGTGACTTTGTTGATAGTGTATGTTCACTATATTGTTGTCACTGGAAATGATAACTCTAGAATAGTGAAACTAAAGCCATTTCTTGCTTCTGAATTTGAGATCAAAGATTTTAGGAGTCTCAGATACATTCTTGGAATTGAAGTGGCAAGGCCAAAGGATGGGATTTTCATTTCATAGAGAAAGTATGTGCTTGACATCCTTCATGAGGCTGGAAAGATGGATGCAAACCAATTGAAACTCCCATTGACCCCAATCATAAACTGTGCTAATTGTTTTCTTGGTAAAACGATGTTAGAATGTTAGAAGAGAGAAGAGAGAAGAGAAGGCAGAGGATTTGGAGTCAAAAGGATAGGTTGGTGGCATCAGCTTTAGTATTTATATTAGGGCAACCCAAACTAATAAAACATAAAGAGTAAATTACAGATATGCCCCTATAGCACTAAAGTACTGATTTATGACAGTTTTAACACTCTCCCCCAAGTTGGGACATAGAGGTCAATCATGCCCAACTTGTCACATAAGTCACTGTGCCACAAGTGATGTA